GGGTGCGTCTGGCACTTTCGGGTGCAGGAAACCGGTGTGTTTCCATCTGGCACTTTCGGGTGCAGGAACTGGTGGGTTTCCATCTGGCACTTTAGGGTGCGTCTGGCACTTTTGGGTGCAGGAAACCGGTGGGTTTCCATCTGGCACTTTCGGGTGCAGGAACTGGTGGGTTTCCATCTGGCACTTTCGGGTGCAGGAACTGGTGGGTTTCCATCTGGCACTTTCGGGTGCAGAAATCAGTGGGTTTCCATCTGGCACTTTCGGGTGCGTCTGGCACTTTCGGGTGCAGGAGACCCGGTGGGTTTCCATCTGGCACTTTCGGGTGCATCTGGCACTTTCGGGTGCAGGAAACCCGGTGGGTTTCCATCTGGCACTTTCGGGTGCGTCTGTTCTGAAATTAGTATTTTGTGTTTTGACCGCGGTTGTCTGTCTATTTGTGTTCCGTGTTCTCTGCTGCTCCAACTGTTTTGCTTTCGGCAGGATGAGACAAGGACCGTCAATGTCCCGTACCCCCCTTGAATGCATTCTTGCTAACTTTTCTGACTTTTCCAGGAGATCCCAAGGCTACAGAACACCAGCCGATCCTGGGGTCCTCCGGACCCTCTGTGAATTGGAGTGGCCAACATTCTGAGTTAATTAGCCATCTGAAGGGTCTTTTGACTTGAGTCTTTTGTTTGCTATGCGGTCCGTTATGTGTGGGGTTCCCCACCCTGATCAAAGGTATACATTGATACTTGGATTAGAAATGTCAGTGTCCGGAGGTTCAAACGAAAGGAAAAACAGTTTTGTTAACAATGCCTCTGCCTGCCCTGAAGGACAGTTAACTCCTCCCAGCCTCAGAGGAAATTCTATCTTGTCCTTCAGGACCCCTCTTGAGGATATACTAAAATGTTAATTAACCTGAGTTTGCCTACTTTGGGTTCTTATTACAGAAAAGCTAGAAGATGAATTTGGATCTGTTAATGCTTTCAATGCCAGCCTGGGCTGCTCCTCTGCAGCAGGTTTGGTAACAACTAATTTCCAACAGGCTTCTCTGAACTTTAGGGAATTAAATATAGGGATCCCAGGCACGGATACAAAGTGCTCTTGGAGAGTTAAAAAACACTCTGCCCCGCATAAACATATGTGTTAGGATGTTGCTCCCCTTTCCTGCATCCTTTTGTAAACCTGGGGTCAGGGGAAATGTTCCCATTCCTCTGACTATGGTACTGTTGGGGGAAGGGCTTCCTTAGACACATTTCACAGTGTTCTCTTGTTAGGCCTATTGGCCCAATTGGCTGAATTAGCAAAGGTAATAATAGCAGATTTAAGGGAAACAGGGCACACAGAATAGGGTCACCCTAGGAAGGGAAACATGAGGAAGGGTCAGGATAGCAGGCCTAGGTCCTGATTAGGGATAAAAAAGACAAGGGCAAAGTCAGGTATAGAGGAACAAAATGAAAAGCCATCCTTAATTTAGGAAAATGACAGGGCTAGGGCTCCTTCAGCTGAGCCCTCCGGAGCCCAGAATAATGCAAGACAATAGGGAACAAACTAGTTAGTTTCTTGGTAGATACTGGTGCAGCAGACTCAGTCCTGACCGAGCCAATGGGACCCTAACCTATCCTTAGACTTCAAAGAGGACTATAGACCTTGGGAAAAATACTGTGACTCATTTGTTTCTGTTCCTGCCGGAATGCCCATACCCCCTACTCAGACGTGATCTCCTCCAGAGATCATTCAATTGCTGGCCACTGCCACTCCAAGCCAGACTCCGCATCAAGTTCCACAAGACGTTGGCCATCAATCCTGCCAGCCTGCCTCCAGATGATGACCCGGAGAAACCTCTGCAGGACTGCCTGGAGGCAATCGACACTGCAGACGGCCGCCCAGACCTCAAGGATGACCCACTGCCATCATCAGATGAGGTATTGTTCACGGACGGGAGCAGCTATGTCCAGGAAGATATCAGGTATGCTGGGACAGCAATAGTAACTCTGGACCATATCATTTGGTCTCAGTCATTAAACAGAGGAACTTCAATCCAAGGGGCTGAACTCATAGCCCTAATCCAGGCTTTCTGATGAGACAAGGGGAAACCGTGCTGCAAATAAGGAAGCTCGACAGATGGCCCTAAAACCAGTGGGGACCTATCCAGATATCAGTCACCATGCCAAACCCAAGTTTGCCTCTGACTCCTACTTACACTGGGTCAGAAAATGACTTAACCAAGCAGAAACAAGCCATGAAGAAAAGCAATGGATAATAGACACTGCCTGATGGGAAGTTATTAATCCCAGAGGCTCTAGGTCGGACTTTAGTCAACCAGCTGCACAAGACTACCCTGTTAGGTTACACCAAGCTTACTGAACTCCAGTAAGGTCACAGGGAAAAGGAGAAGGTAAAAGAAAACAGAAATATATAGGTCTAAATAGGGAAAGGAGGAGAAAAGCTAGGGGGTATGCAGACAATAGATAGATTAAGCAAGCTCTCAGGTTCACGTCAGAGGGACTAAGAAAGTCGCAGAGGGTCTGTGTAAGTTGAAGAAGGATTATATAAGTCGCAGAGGGTCTATATAAATTATAGACAGGGAAGAGAAGAATTATGCAGAGGAAATAAGATAAGGAAGGATAAAAAAAAAAGGGACATAGATATTACAGGAAGACAGGACATTGGAAGAATACTCAAGAAGGGAAGAAGATAGGACACTGAGAGGGGAGAGCTTGCCCCTAATAATAAAATAACAGTCTGAAATATAATAAAGAAAACCTTAACCAAATTTACTTTAGAAACCGGTGAAAACTGGACCACTCTGCTCCCCCTCACCCTCTTACAGTTCTTACAGGCCCTGCAATCTGCCCAGAAGGCCATCCATAAACACATCTGTGATGCACTGCCTGTGCCCACCTCAAACCCTGTGCACCCGTTCCAGCTCAGGGATTCGGTATAAAGAAATTCACCACCCAGAGACTAACTCTGGCCTGGAAGGGACCATACACTGTCATCCTGCCTGCACCAATGGCTGTCAAGGTCAACGGCATCCTAGTCTGGCTGCACCATTCCTGGCTGAAGGCGGAAAAAGCGGAACAGACAGTGCAGGCCTCTCCAGATCCTTAAAAATGAGACTCTTGCATTTATCAGGACTCTAATTTTTCTAATTATAACTGTACAGGGAAATCTTTATAGATCTATACTCCAGGAAAACTGGGAACTTAGAAATAAGATATTGGGGGAAATCTTAAAAAATGTCACCACAAAGGGGATGTAATAACTCCATTCTGACCCTCAGTTACTACACGTACACACCCTAGCAGACTTTCTTTGTAAATATAAGGGCCTTGAGAAACCCAAAGAAAAATATGAAGATAAGGGGTTAATAATGGCCTTGGGGAACTCAGAGGAACCATGAGAAAAACGAAATTAATAGCTGCCCTGACAAAACAAGCTCCTCTCTCCCCCTTCTCTGTATCAGCCCCCCTTAATGGTGCCAAAAGCGGCGCCAAGAAAATGTAGTTTTTTTTTCTGTAGTTTGTGCCTTTAAAAAGCAGACAACAAAGAAGGCAAGTTACTGAGGATTTGGGGAATGCCACCCCAACAGCCCGCTGATATAAAATGCTCCTTTACAATTCTGCTGTGTGTCTCTAGTTATCTCACTGACACCTTACAGCATTTCGAACACTAAGGGAAGCTTGCTGTTTTTATGCCAATAGATAGGAGTCATCAGAGGGAGTATTCAGGTTCTTAAGAAGCACCTCGCAAAACAGGCCAAAAATAAAGAGGCCTCTAATAGCTAATTTAAAGGCCTTCATAACTGGTCCTCTTAGTTCACTACTCTTCTCTAGCGGGCCCCCTCATACTCCTATTTCTAGGACTATTTCTATAGACCTATAATGATAAACAAATTAATAGCTTTCATAAGAGAGAGGGTCCAATCTATCAAATTATTAGTCCTGGCCTTTCATTACCAAAGGTTGCCATTAGATCAAAGATTTAATCTATACATAAAACCAGTGGGGAATGTTATAACCCAGTAATTCTCCATCTGCTAGAAAAAGGAACCTCTCCCGGGTTCCTTGAGCCCAAGTTGTTTTTACAAAAACTCTTGAAGAGATGGATCAACCATGACCATGAGCTTAACTAATCAGGAGATGCCAGACGGGACAATGAGGCATTCAAGGCTAGAGTTTAGTAAATGTTAAGAAATATAAAACAAACAACTTGTACAGTTACTAACAGCTGATATCTGCTTCTGTACACATAGCTTGCTTGCTCTGCTAAACTCTTGAGTAACCCCTGTCCTATATAAGCAACCCTCCCCCTGAGCTCGGGGCTGCAGTTCTCCTCTGTGTAGGTTGGCTGCAGTCCCTGCGCAGGTAATAAAGCTCCTAATATTCAAAATTACTTGATGTTTGAGTGAGGATGACTCTCCTGGGTTACAACATTTGGAGGCCCCAGCGAGATCCTCCCGCAAGGTCCCCCTTTTCTGTGGGGTCGACCTCCTCAGACTACGCGGAGGGCTGCCTCCTTGCCCTCCGCACCTACATTTGTTCTGGCTTTGATTCGGCTAATTCGGACTAGGACTTCGGCCTCGAGGATCTGGGTAAGGGATTTCCCTTTCCATCTGTTTTCTGTTTTGGTAGCTCCGGAGCGTTCTGGGATTGTTGCGGGCGGAACGCCGCTCAACCGCACTTCCCCCTCAGGGTCGGGACGCCGACTCCTGACCTAGGAAACCGGTGGGTTTCCATCTGTTCTGAAATTGGTACCAGTCTGTTTTAATCTGGCACTTTCGGGTGCAGGAAACCGGTGGATAGTTTATATTAAAACATCTCCGATCCTCTGAATTCCCTCAGTTCTCCATTTTGCTTTTTCAATAATATAAGATTATCAACATTCATTTTGTTATTGCTATGTAGACTGTAATGATTTATTCTTTCAATTCATCAATGTTCTATACATTAACAAAAAGAATTCAGGTTTAAAAATTATTTTCTCTAAGCAAGAAGATAAAAACACAATGCAACTTGAATATTCCAGACTGACCAAAATTATTTATTGATTTATTAATTTAAGGATGTTCATCGACCCACAGTAGAAAATAAAGTTTGGTGCTTGGGTTTGAGATTGTCAGTATTTTTCATCTTTAGAGCAGGAGACAGTTGGTTTGTGTGGTATGAATACAATTCAGAGAGAAATGTAAGGTATAAAAAATTTAGGGAATCCTTCAGTCTAGAACGGTCCACACTGTTTTGTTTTTCTGAATGATGGTAAACAGATCTGGACATGAGTGTTATAAAATAAGTTTCCAGCCTGTCTTCCTAAACAATGTTGATCTGTAAAGGAAAAGGGAAAACGAGTTAGATCTTGATTGCATGTTTTCAGAAAGAATACTGGGAGGGAATTATACACAGTGCAAAAGAAGAAAAGGCACCAATGAACCAGCACTTCCAAGGTACTTCGCTTCCTCCTTGTAAGAACCTGGTTGCCAGTGCTTAACTTCGAGGGTCACAACATGGTTTTCTAGAGCAGACTGTTAGAAACTACATATGCTAGTCAAAAAACTTAGGCCCATGCTTTTATTAGTCTTCTGTTCCAACTAAATTACCTAGTTTTGGGCTTGTTGACTCTCCACTGCATACTTATAGTATGAAGATAATAGGATTTGTGGATGGAAGCGAAAGCCTCAGAAATGTTTACTTATACACTTATCCAAAATGCTCTATTTCTAAAAAACCCATTTCAAGAAATTGAAGATTTCTGGTTAATATAAATAACTTTTAAGAAATAATACTAATTATATCTACAGAATATAAAGTGAAGCTGTTAAAGAAACAACAACATCAAGACAGTCTTAACAGTAAAGAGGAAGCAGATATATACCTTGAGAGCTCCATCTAGATAGACATGATATGCTTGACAAAAGCTGTAGGCACAATACAGACAGTTGAGAGTTAGAAAACAGTCAAATTTAATAAAGAGGTTTTGCAAGTTACCTCAATCCTAATTATGCTTAGCTATTTTGTATTTTTTAATGCTCGGCACAGCCTACTATACTTATTACTGGATTTATGGCCTTTCCCTTGATTTTGTAAACTGAATTTTGAGTAAGGGGTACATTCACTTGGTTAAACTTTTCTTCTTTAACATATGAAAGAATTTATAACAAAAAAATGTTCCTTACCACTGTCTTTCAGCTATCTAGGTTTTCTCTTTATAGCTAAGTTGATGGAGCTATTAAATGCATGTATATATAAGAGAATACAAACATATGTTTCTATAATTTTTTTACACAAATGGTAACATATTCTGAAAACTCCTTTGCACTTATTTTTCTCACTTAGTAATATATACTGGAGATGTTACCATAACCGTAAATAAGTGTCATTTTTTTAGGGCTGTAAGGCATTTCATTGTGAGATGTATCAGAATCTATTTGACATATCCTACATTGATGAACATTAGGTTGTTCAAATATTTGGCCATAACAAACAACAGTACTAATGAATAACCATGTAAGTTTTACTTGATTGCAAGAATAGCTAAAGACTATATCGCTTGAAGTAGATTTGTTAGAATTGATAGTACCCGATAACCACATAAGGATTTAAATGATTTACATTCTCAATAGGAATGCATAAGATCAGCTTTTTCCACACACTCTCCTCAACCCAAAGTGTGGTCAAACTTTTAACCTTTGGCAATCAGCTTGTTTAAAAATGGTATCTCACTGTAGTATCAATCTGCATTTCTTTTATTATTAATGAAGTTTAGCATATTATACTGTATTTATATATTTTTAAATTTCCATTTCTAGGAATTGTCTGTTCATGTATTTATTAATGTTTTATTGGTTGTGGTCTTTTTAAAATTTATAATTGTTTCATTATTAAGGAAATGAGGTCTTTGTAATATTGATTGCAAATATTGTTTTGGGTCTGCTATTTGTCTTTTGACTGTTTCTGGTGGCTTTTGCCATATAGATTTAAAAAGATTATGTGGTCAAATTTATCAAAATTTGAACTGCCTTCTGGGTTTTATATAAGTGTTAGAAAGGCCTTCCTATTCTGAAAGTTATAAAATAATTCTTACATTGCTTTTATGCTTTTTGCTTTTACATTTCAATTTTTGACCCATTTGGCTTATTGTATGGTATTAGGTCCAGATTTGATTTAATTATGTGGATTACTATCCACTTGTCCAAACAGTATTTATTGAATGATTTTTTTTTACATAATGTATTTATGTCAATAACCAATGTAAATCATTGTTTATGGGAAAACAGTGATGTTTAATCAAGGTTGTCAATGAAGGTGTACTCGGCTAAGTGCTTTTCTTCTCTCCTGTGAGCTCCTCAATCGCTCCCCAGGTTTCTTCCCCTCCCCTGCTTTCCTTCCTTCCTTTTCCCCAGGCGTTAGACTTCACAAGTCTAAATTTACATAAAATCTATCGACATAGCTTTATTGAAATGTGGCTAGGTTCATCTTTTAGCAGACTAGATAAGTTCCTCAATTTTATTGAAAAATTAATTTATAAATTATATCATACGACTCTATTTTGCTTCTTTATTTTGAGTGGAGTCTTGCTTTTCAGATCCTGTGGGTGAAGCTACTGTAGATTGGTGGCATGAAATAGATCATTAATCGGTCACTATGAGGTGACTTTTTTGAAAGCAAGATTATTAGACAAAGAGAACTAAGTTTTAGCGTCATCCCTGTCATTAGTGATGTGACCTTCACTAATAACTAATCCTCTTTACTCCTCAATTTCCTCATATTTATAATTACTTGATGTAAAAAATTTTGAGATGTCTTCAACTTTAATATTCTTGTTGTTGTTGTTGTTGTCAATCCTCACCTGAGGATATTTTTTCCATTGATTTTTCAATAGAGAGTGGGAAAGAGGGTGGGGAGAGAGAGAGAAACGTTGATGTGGAAGAGATACATTGATTGGTTGCTTCATGCACACGCCCCGGCTGGGTTGGGGATCAAACTTGCAACCCAAGTACGTGCCCTTGACTGGGAATCAAACCCATGACCCAGGCACTCACTCTGCCACTGAGCCACACCAACCAGGGCTCCAACTTAAACATTCTAATAAATTTTATTCTAACACAACCCTGTCTATATTGCAGAGGTATGGTGAAGGTCTAACAAGAAAAAGTACATGTGAAAACACATTGTAAGCTGTGTAACAATACACAAGAGTGCTAAGTTATCACAAGGTATCTTATTAGAGTTAGAGTTATTGTATAATTGATTGATAATAAGCAGCGTGTATATGTTCAATGAGGAAGGCAGAGAAAAAGAAATTATTTTAAGCTCAGAAAGAGTCCATAATCAATCCAATCATTTAAGAGTTTCTGTAATTACCAGAGTACATGAGATTGTACCTTCATAGTTGATGCATCCATTGGAGTCCTCTTGACCTTTCATCAGTGTCTCCACTTCCTCCTCTTTCATCTTTTCACCTGATGAAGCAAAACGCTTTGTTCAGAAAGAAGGCTAGAGAATATTTTCAAAATTGCACCATAAGTGATCAGTTTGGGACTCCTGGAGATTATGACCAAGCTGTTGGAGGATAGAAACCAAGACCTTCCTATTCCTCTGGCACTTAGTAGGTTGTCAATAAATGTTTTTGATTGAATAAATTAAATGCACATGTACCTGAATATACAAACTATATTCTATGAGAAATACAATGCTTTGCTCTACTTGTACCTTATTACCAATAATTTAAGTTACCATTTTCCCCAAACTCATTGACGCTGAAGCCAAATGACATGGTCATTAACTTTTGACTGTTCTATTTCATTTTTCCTTTGCTGTTTTTCCTCTTACCTATCTTGCTTATAACATGATTCCCCTAAGTCATGCTCCTTCTTCTATATTCTGTCTTATTAATTCCACTGCAAAAGATTTTCCTTACCCAGTGTGGCCAGAACATGACGGAGTTCAGCACCCATGACTGTGCCATTGCCTTCCTTGTCAAAGACTCGCAGACCCTCAACAAAGTCTTCATAAGTGCCCTGCTCCTTGTTGTTAGAAATAGCTTGCATCATGGGAAGAAATTGTTCAAACTCAATTTTCTTGACATTCATCTCTGAAAGAAATCACAATTTGGAGTTATTAGCTACCATAAGACACCATTTCTAAGTCTCAAATTAAACTTTAAAGTTTATTCTAGATGGCCTGAAATATCTTCATACAGCTTAAATTTTAATTGCTAAGCTGCTGATGACAAAAATTTGGTAACAGATAACAGCATGAGCTCTGGGTTCTAGTCCTTGAACTTTTATTCCCAATCCACCATTTATGACTATGTGATTATGGGCACGTTTCTTAACCAATCTGTGCCTCTACTTCTTCATTTCTAAAATAGAGATATTTCATAGTGTTAGTGAGACTTAAATGAGATGACACAAGCCAAGTTTATTATAACACCTGGGACAACTGAGTCCTTAATGTTAGCTGCTATTTTATTAGTATTGTCAATTTACTATTTTTTATAAATACTAGGGACTTAATGTAAATTACACTGACACAACAAGCCCATTAGCATATAAATATTGTAAAACTTAATTGAACTTGAATATATATTTCATCTTTGTCCTGAGCTTTTGTAGAGCCTTTAATTTCTTTAAATTTTAAATACTTTAATAAAGAAACTTATGAGGAGAGAGTGTGTATCAAATGCTTTGTCATCTCCTGACTTCTTTGCAGTCTAGAGGCCTGCAGATGATAAGACTTGCTTTAGTATCTTTTGACAAAGTAAATCATATTCAAAGTAGAAGTATAAATAGACCTTTTTGATGTATGCAAACGGATAAAGTTATGTACCTCTAACATCAAATTTCCTTCTACTAGTCTTCCCTAATGGAAGAGAAATCTAGTACATTGAGCAAGAGTAAAAAGATTGAATTGAAATGCTGAATAATGAATATTTACCTAATAACTTCATTAAAGATGGATGCTTGATGAGTTAGAAATGGCACTGAAGAAGGCAGATTGGGCTTACTTCTCTTTCACTTTATCTCATGCTCTCAGCTATTTTGTGTGTGGGATTTACCTGGAAATTTTCCTCCAAAGAAAATGAAGTGTGAGTAATATTTTAGCAGACTGATTCAGAGTTAGGTTTTCTTGAAAGACGTTTTTGTTTCTTTTGAAACAAGGGAAAATAGTCATTTTAATTATGAAGGAAAAAAATTTTTTTTGTTTTCTCTTCTTTTTTCTTCTGTGGCAAAGATAAACAGCCCACATATCTGCTTGAAAAAACTTCAGTTTTGTCTTTTTTTGTTTGTTTGTTTTTTAGGGTGGTATTTTCCAATAGACTATTATATTTTGCCATGAACCGTTGGGAGTTAAACAATTTTTTTGCCTTCCCCTACTAAAGACTGGATTTCTGTTTTGAGCAAATAACTCCTGCTATTTTGCCACTCATATATGTCACTGACTTTGGTCCCATGATTTAACTTGAGTGCAGGTTCAGCTTAGATTTTTAAGTCTTTTTGTAATTTTTTGGAAATAAAAAGTATTCTTATTAAGATGTCATCCTGTGTGTCTTAATTAAGATAGCCGAGTTTCCTTTAAGATGTCACAGAAGCAGGGTGTCAAAGACAGACCATTGGGCAAAGTCAGCAGGTATTTTCAGTCTTCTGAAAACATTGATCTCCTTTCTTCAGCTTTTATCAGAGTAGATCTCCTCTAGAGGCATGCCATTGTAATTTACTCGGAGTTGTTTTAGTCATATTTAACATGTTTGTCAAAACATATTTTTGTCTTTGAAGGTTTGCAAAAAAAAATGCATAGAATTGGATATTATTTTACTTCATTAACCTTTAAATTATGAGCATCAGATAAGATGATGATAATGATGTTAGCATTAAATATTATTTCCTTGCATTAGCATGAAATTTTATCATGCTTGCAATTCTCAAAGAGGAAGGTTAACTTACTATATGAAGGAAAAAACTGAGACTCTAACCAAGTGGCACACCTAACATCAGAAGCAAATTAAGTCCTATTCTGTGGAATTATTTCTTAATATATCTCTCTTTCTCATACACACACATTATGTATTTCCCAATTGATTGGAAAAAACATGTGGTTACCTTCATTGGTGGGATTTCCCAGCACCTTCTTGACCTCTGCGTTAGTGGGATTTGTGCCTAGGGCCCGAAGCACATCACCAACCTGGCTTAAGGTGATCTTGCAATCACCTGTTCTGTCATACAGGAGAAATGCCTCCTTGAAATCTGCAAGAAGCAAAAAGCATTAGGATGCTTGTTTTTTCTACCTCAGACCTGTAAATTTACTCGAATTTCATCAAGATCTGTTCAAACTTTCCTGTTTTATGACTTTTGCCAGCCACTTAAGTTGTGATCATTGGACTCCCTTTCCCTAGTTCAAACAATCATGGACAAACCCTTTTGACATTTCATTTGTGGGCTACTTTAAAGCAGCCTGTCCAATATCTCCCCCCCCCCTTTTATTGATTTTAGAGAGAGAGGGAAGGAGGGAGAGAGAGAGAGAGAGAGAGAGAGAGAGAAACATCGATGAGAGAGAAACATCCATCGGCTGCCTCCCGCATGCCCCCTGCTGGGGATTTAGCCCACAACATGGGTATGTGCCTTGACCCGGAATCGAACTGGTGACCTCTTGGTGCATGGGTCGATGTTCAACCCCTGAGCCAAACCGGCTTGGCCAGCCTGTCCAGTTTCAAGTCGTATGTTACTAATCAGATGTGAACACTGGAACTCTTAGTCATGGTTACTCATATTTCCTTCATCTGCTTGGGAAGCTGGTCTGGGTTAAGAAATTCTGAGGCCTCAGGAATTCTTCATATAATCTTTCATATAATTAACAAAGTTGATAAAATTTCAAGAAAACAAAGTTTCAAATGGGGTTGTGTTTGTGAGGTTAACCCATACTTCTCCAATGATATGAAAGGTACAAATTTCCTAGATATTCCCATTAACCAGTTTTCTTCGGGAGTAACTTCATTTTTTCAGGAAAAAGTTTAGAAAGCTGAGACAAATATCTAAGTTCTATGAGTGGTCATCTAACCACTTCAGTGTATGACTCTAAGAGGCTCCTGGTATACTCTATTCAGTAGGAGGAATATTTGTTCGGGTCTATAGCTACGGTAATATATTCTTTTTTTCAGATAATACATATGACAACATGTTGCTATGTTCACTTTAGATTTAAGTATGTATTTTGTAATGAAAATTTTATGGAGGTAATTGTAGATCCACATGCAATTTTGAGAAAAAATATGAAAAGATGTCTTAAATACTCTGTTTCCCCCAATAGTAACATTTTTCAAAATTACTGTATGTTATTAAAACCAGAATATTCACATTGATAGGCTCCACCAATTTCATTCAGATTTCCATTTTACTTGTATTCGTGTGTGTGTTTGTGTATAATATATATTCTTAAACTGTCTTTTTAAAAAAATCCTCACCTGAGGATATTTTTCCATTCATCTTCAGATAGCATGGTGGGGGATGGGGGGAGAGAGAGACATCGATTTATTGCTTCCCACATGACCCCAACCAGGGCCGGGGACTGAACTGTAGCTGAGGTACGCGCCCTGTATCGCAATCAAACCCGAGACTCTTTAGTCCACGGGCTGACGTTCAAACTGCTGAGGCAAACCAGCCAGGGCTTAAAGTGTCTTTTTATCACGATCACTCTACTCCTCGCTTTTCCTAAATTTTGTCATTCTCCTTTGATAGGATGGTTACCTTAACAAAGAATTAAGACATGCACACCAAAAAGACATAAAGGGGTGGTACTATGGATTAGGGGCCAGGAAAGACATTTTGATTGAACCTTCTAAACATAACTAAATAAAATTTCCTGGGGAACCCAAGAGTACTGATGACAACTTGTTGGAGTTAATACTAACAACACTCAAAAAATCGTATGTGAAGGAAAGAGGTGAAGCAGTCTTCTTTCAGGCCACTAGTGGTCTCGGTTTTTAAGATGCCTTCTGGATAGATTACTCAGCAAAGTTCCCTATTTTATTCTCCTTCCATCCCCTAATCTAAGATTGCACCAGACATATTCACTGTCATCTACTGTGATTATGTTACCCTTCTTTGCTAAAATTTCCCCCTCAGATTCTATGCAATTTGACTATAAAAGATCATTTCCCTAATCTGAGAACATGCCACAGGCACTTTAGGGTCATTAGTGAAATACTCTGTTTCATCTTTCTCAGGGACATGTGAAACTGAACTATTCTTGTTACTGGCTCCAGGCTTTCATGCACAAATTGCTTCGAGGGCTCACTATTACCCTGGTCAGATGCTTGATATAGAAATAGGATTTTTATGGTCTGTAATAGAATCTCCCTGACATTAACCCTTCTGTTAATTTAAAGGCTAAGGCCAGAGAGATATTGTTTTTCCTACCCCAGAATTTAAGGCTTAAGTTTTTCTCTTGAAGAGTCTAGAACATGGGTTAGCGAACTCCTGCCTAAGGGTTGGCCAACTGTTTTTGTAAATAAAGTTTGATTGGAATACAGCCATTCATGTATGTATTGTCTGTGGCTGTTTTCCTACTTCAGGGACAGAGTTGAGTTCTTTTTACAGAGATTGGATTTGCCAATGAAGCCTAACGTATTTCCTATTTAAGGAAAAGTTTGCTAGCCCCTGGTCTAGAAGAACACTGTTCTAGAACTTTTTGTGATAATTGAAATGTTCTATACCTGGGCTTCCCCCAAATGTAGCTACTTGCCACCGGCAGTTCTTGAGCGCCAGAATGTAACTAGTACAACCGTGGAAATGGATTTTTAAACATATTTATTTGTAACTACTTAAAGTTTAAATTTACATAGCCACATGTGGCTAGTAGCAAATCTACTGGACGGCATAAGACAACTTAGACCTTTAGAATGCTATAATTTTCTAATGTTGTTTCTTCTTTTCTTCAAACCTATGATACATTCAAATAGAGCAGCCTTGAGCAAAACTATTTAATCATTAAACAAGAAAGTAAACAAAGGACGTCTTCATTCCTTTCTGAAAGTATAGGATGTCTATTGAATTTAAAATGCTACTAAAAAACATTTGTTTTCCCGGCACAAGAGAAAACCAGTCCACTACACCGATGTTTATCAAAACTCTCTATGTAAAATCTATTTTCTATATGGAGTAATAGGTTTCATAGTAATAGTTTAATAGGTTTAAGCCTTTCCTCCCATTCTTGTAAGGGTTTTTAAGTCTTCTATTGTTTGGTCCTACCACAGTTTGGCTGTCAAAATGACACTGTAAATTAGATATTTAAGAGGATTGGGATACAGTAGCTGAAAATGTAGCAGCATCACTAGTGAAAAATGCATTAAAAATCAAACAAATTGTAGTAGAACTACCAACTATTTTGAATAAGAAAACATAGCCCTTTGTAGTATAATTTCATATGAGTTTGAGTTCTGAGTCACCAAGCCATCTAATCTGTCTTCCTGAGGCTGTCAACCATGATGTGGATACATGTGAGTTTGTTCTACATCAAGTATCCTTTTAGTTTCTTAATTGATGTTTGAACAGAAGATAGTCTAGACACTAAAGCATCCAAAACCGTGAAATTATTTAGGTAGGGAACTGAGTATTTGCATAGGTCCTTATTAATCCCCTTATCTATAATTGCATATTATATATCATAACATGTATAATAGATACATACTTATTATTATGACCAATATTATAATTTATATAACATATAACTAATTTTCTCTCCCCTTCTCTCCTGTAGATGTATTGCCATCTCACTTCATTTGAATATGTGACACTGTCACTTCATAAAACATGCCCCGGTACACTTCCAGTGAAAATACAAGGTTTTGTGGTGCACCGGATTCTTGGATCCCAAGACGGAAAGGAGAAAAAAAATGGAAGTGTTAAGAAAAGTATTCAGATTCACTTGAATCTCAACAGTTTGAAGTCTTTTAGTTAGAAACTCTTTTTAAGCAAGAAATTTCTAATTAATTTAAAGTAATACCAGATTTTGATCCTATCATTATTCCTTGGGTCTTTGAGCAAGTCCCACCCCCTCCTTAGGAGCCTATCTTGCATCACTGAAGATGGACCAGGAGACATCTACTGTTTTTTCCCACCATTTTATGACAAATATTCTTCCCTCTTTGTCTCTGAATTTATCTTTATTCTATGTCTACTTCACCCATTAATTCTCTCTATGCGTTATGATGTCCACTGAAGTTATGGTCCTTCTATTGCTTGGTCCTACCATAGTTTGGCTGTCAAAATGACACTGTAAATTAGATTTGGTAATCAGCAGTTTTATAGTCAATTTTATTTTCCGAATTGAACAATTCAGAATTGCCAAATCTCTCTTTAAGTATTTTTTTTTTTAATCCTCATCCGAGGACATTTTTCCATTTTTTGTTCAGATAGAGTGGGAAGGAGAGAGAGGAAGAGAGAGAGAGGGAGAAACATCAACATAAAAGGGACACATCGAGTGGTTGCGTCTCGCACGACCCAACCAAGTCTGGGGACAAACCGCAACCAAGGTACATGCCCTTAGTGGAACCGAACCCGAGTCTCTCTGGACTGCAGGCTGACGCTCTAACTCCTGGGCCAAACCAGCCAGGGCGCTCTTTAAGTATTTGTTTAACAAATTAGCCATCCAAAACCTACATCTTTTTTGGCTATATATAGTATTACCTACTGTATCAAATTGGTTTTATTTAGAAATCAGTGAATATAAGGACCTATTTTGTAGTGTTTATCAATTGTTTGCTTAAATTTCTGATGACTAATTATAAGGAAGGGGTTCAGGTTGTTGAGAGAAGTCAGAGCCATTGAGAGCATTTCTACTTAGAGTGGTCACACCAGTGGGGGGTCATTAGGAAGAGCTAATCTCATCTTAAGGGAGTTGGTTTTCTCACATGCCACCCTTATGAGTGTGCACATATTAACAATATCTTTCAAACTTACCATCCTGCTGTTCCTGAGAGAACTCGATCTGTTAGAAAGAAATTAACCACAAAGAATATTTTAACCAAACAACATGTCCTGACTTCAAAGTGTATCCAAGCTCATTCCCTGAGTAATCTTTAAAGTAAGCTCCCCACGTAAGCCTACTTTTCAGAGTTCAGGCATAGCTTGGACACCAACAGGCTGAGCCACGTAGTAACATGCCTTGGAGATAAGCAATATTTCTGAAAGTAGGCAGTGTTCTGCCTAGTTCTGGAGCAGAGGGGCTCAATTCACTTACCAGCAATCTGGTCAGCACTGAAGGACTGTGGTGGCGAGACAGGAAGAAAGAAGAAACAACTAGTACTTTCGAATGCATTGACAGAATAATTGAGTGCTCTCTGCCCTGAGATTTTTAGAAAGCCGTGTAGGTATCATAGAATACAAAGGTTGCCTTAGGATACTTTTGAGTCTAGAAAAAATAAAAAGCTATTGCAAAATATAGTAAGGGAACATCTCTCTTACCTGAATTACTGAATCAATGGTTTTACAAATACCAAGTCAAATACTTCCTGGAAATAGTATTCTACAGTGTAAGATATGTTTAACACAGGTACACTGTGTTAAAGAGTACAGTAGCACTGCATTAAAAAGATCACCTTAAGTCTTTTTTCTGTTTAACCACATTTTTTGCTTTGCAAGTAGTTTGCTTAACTTTAGAGATTGGCATCATTGGAGTGTTTCTTAAGGTGTAATATTTTTCTATAGTTGCAGGTTTCTTTCCTTCTGAATTTAGATATAATAAACCTTATGTGATACAGCAAAAGTTGATGAAGCCTAAAGCACTACTTTTGGGACTAAGTTGTATTTCTCCAGCGGGTATAATAGCTCAAACTAACCTCTTCTATCTTCAGCCCACCTCAACCAAAACCCAGAGTAGATTCTAAGGACGCATATTGAATATGCTCTCTCCCCAATTCTACTTTATGTCTGCCTTTTTCTCAAAAAGATTATATCCACTATCTCTTTCCTCCTGCAAACCACAAATACTTCTCTCGGAGGACGCACCATGATGGAGCTGCTGTGCTGCAAGAAGGCGGGGAAGCTGAATGGTGAGGTCAGGGCGGCTCCAGTCCCTGAGTGTGGGGGCCTCCCTTGCAAAGGTTGCCTCTTATTTCTGGGGAAGAAATGACCTCACAGCTAGAATCAGGTTTCAGAGAGAGGTGACCACACCCGTGGGAGAGTTCTTTAGCTTTCTTAGGGCAAAGGAAAAGAGGGATCTCTACCCTGAGGGCTATATTTAGGAAACTAGAAACTAAGAGTCGAAGCCATAGTGAGACCGAAGCCCTCGGTACTTTTATGGTCTTCATGTTTGAGATACTCTCCTGAACTGCCTTCTTTAAGAAGCTTATTTGTTCCGTGGCAGAGGAGCTTAGACTTTCTCTAGGGGCTGGGGCTGACCCCTTCTCTGGGTGAATTTTGGACTCTGCAAACTTCTAGTGAGCAAGTTCTGGTATTACTGGCAACTGCTACAGAAAGAACATCCTCTGAAACGCTGCCCCTTGTGGAAAAGTTCGGAGGACCTGGAAGGTATCACCCTTTCTGTAATTTTCTTAGGGTTCACCCAAGTGATCATCCGGCCAGTTCTCGCAATTAATCTGTAATTAATGAAAATTTGCAAGCTGTATTCTCAGAAGTATAAAGCTCATCTAAGCCAGAAATGCGTTTGAGCTGTTTTTCACCATTCTCCCTTAGTTACCTTAGGGATGGGTATTTTTCTCCCTCCCTGTTATCTTTATGGTGGCTGACCAGTCACATTTTTTGAATTTCTGCAATTTTTCTAGGCTGAAAAGCTGATAGACCTCTTCCCCACCCCCTCTTCCCCCTTAAGCTTTATTCTGGATTCCCTTCCCTCCTTTCTTTTTTTCTTTCTTTCTCTTATCTTCCTTCCTTCCTTCCTTCCTTCCTTCCTTCCTTCCTTCCTTCCTTCCTTCCTTCCTTCCTCCCTTCCTTCCTTCCTTCCTTCCTTCTCTCTTTCTCTCTTTCATTTATTTTTTTGTTAATCCTCACCCGATGCTCTAAACCTCAGGGCCAAACCAGCTAGGGCTTCCTTGTTCTTTAAAAACAAAACAAAACAAAAACCATTAACTTTATTGTGGTGACATTGGAAAGTAACATTACACGAGTTCAAGTGTACAATTCCGTAATACATCACCTGCATATTGCATTGTGTGCTCACCACCCAAGTCTAACGCTTTCTGTTACCATGAATTTGACCCCCTTTACCCTCTTCATCTTCCTCCCGCCCTCTTTCTCTCTGGTAACCGCCATTCTGTTATCTGTTGATAAACTTTTTTTTGCTTTCTTTTTCTCTCCTTCTACTTGAGATTTAAAATTTTTGTGGAAGTTCCTAGTAGACCGTGCGGATTCTGTGCCTGTCATGTCAAAGATTTTGTGGCTCAGTCCGCAGACTGAGAAACAAAATAACCCAGGAGAGGAGCTGTGGAATGCAAAGCTGGCCCTTAGAATTTGAAAGGTATCCCGGGGAGGGCCTGGTGATGGGTTCTCTTGGTAGCTTATCTGAAAATAGACAGCACTGTCTTCCTGGAATGGTACTGTGCAAAGTTGGCATGTCCTCTGATGTTCACACAACAGGTTTATCAGTTGTCTACGTATTTAAAGCAGCTCATGGGCATAAAGAATGTTGGAAATAGATTCTGACATAAATACTGCTTCCACAACTTTTTTTAAGGAAATGATCTCAGAAAGCATGAAGTCTCCCCCTGCTAGACAGATACATACTTTGCAGCTTTTCCTCAAGCATTTAGGAAGAAATCAAGATTTAAATGTGTGTTACATTTGTCCAAAGACTATAAGTAGTGAAAAAAATCTCATAGGGTCTTAAGTTCCAAAATGAGGACTGAAATCATAATTTTAAAAATATTAGAACCCAGGTATACATATCTTCATTAATAGATGGACCTTCTTGGACCCTCTGAGAGAGTTAATAGAAACATTTAAATGCTTTGAATCATTAGGGGGAAATGAAAAGGAAAGATCCAAAGTGGAAATTTGTAACCTTTGATAATTATGTGATTTGGATCCTCACGATTTTGAGGCAAAAATTAAAGCCTTTACAGCAGACCTGTTTCTTTGTGTCCTTTTTAGTCTTGTAATTATATGTGTCTGTCTTGTCATTAAATTGCCAATGATTAATATTGAGAACTAGCATATATCTTTAATAAAGCTGATAAATGTAAATAACAAAATAAATTAATCAAAGTTGCCTACACAATGTTCATTTCATGTTTTTTTTTTCTTTTCTGAGTAGAGAGTGTACCCCTGAATATGTATAGAATATGATCAATTTGTAAAAAGTCTGTTGAGTAAACTGGAAAGTCATCTTAAAAGTTATATTTATGTCATGAGTAAGCAATTTCTAACCACTTATTTATTATGTACAAGTTTAATATCATTAAAATAGAAGTGGTAGGCAGTTACCAAGTTATTTTTTTCTACTACTTTATCACATAGAGAATGCGAGTTTAGATGTTCTTGTATCTATTGTGAATCAAAGTAAACATTTCAGCAGGTTATTGACAACAGAGGCGAAGACTGCAGTCCAGTCTACTCTAGAGAATCAACTATAGTTTACAAGTTAGAAAACCTAGGCGTGTGCTCATGGAATAAATGGGAAATGCTATTTCTCTGGTACACTTTCACAAATGACACACACTTTCACTGGCATCTCTTCTGGTGTTACATTGGTGAGTCAACCAGCCCTTTGAACACGCCTTTGACAAATACAAAATGTCAGCTGATTTTCAACTCAGTTTACGATGTCATCGTTTGGTTTGTTTTAAAAATTAGACTTGTCTTTCCTATCTGGAATGCTCTTCTCCCATCTCTGCTTCTTGAAAACTATTTATTCTTCAAAGTTCTGATCAAATCTCCTCCTCCTGAAAAGAACCTTTTTCTCTACTTACCTAGCTCCCTCCTTCCACTCAAAAGGGATGTTGAACCTTGCTAATTGAAAACTTCTGGGAAGCACAGGTCTTTATGAAAGCCATTTACCTTTGTCCATGAAGTGAACCCAGGTGCAGGCTTACAGCCACCCCCCCCCCCCCCTTGGAGAGCTGCCCCTGCCTTATTCTTTGATTTTATTCCCCATAATGATAAAATACCTGCCCATGTTAGATACTCAACAGGTTTTCATCAAGGTAAAATCATTAGAACATATGAATAGTAAGTTCCTCCTTCAAACATAAGCTCCCCCTCTGGAGTATTATATCCCCTGAGGGAAGAGACGTCATCAGTCCCTTCGAAGAGCTCACGTGCTGCAGGAGACGCACACACCCTGTGACACTGCATTTCTGCCACCAAGAACTGCCACACACACAGTAGGCGTGCTCATGCGCTATTGATGCATGTGCCTTTAGATGTCCAGAACCCTTTCTTAGATTTTGTGTAAATGTTTATAATCAGGATTTCTCATTTGCAAACCCTCAATTTGTCTTTTTAAAGGTTTTTTCCATCTCTGCCTACATACTGATTAGATTGATAGTGAAAGAACTACGTTCCACATTCTTCTGAGTCATGTACTGTTTGGTATTGGACTTAGGTAGGTAGTAGAGTACAAGGTACTGGTGCTAAAGAGGATTTTTGTTATAATATTTACAGATCTTTTTTCACTTTGAGAAGCACTTTCCTAAAAATAATCATTGAAAGAGCTAGTAACATTTTAAAGCTAGAAGTAGAATATATAACCTACACCCCAACTGTTACTTGAGGCTGAGCCCTTTTTGGCTCAGCCCGCCTGCACCCATTATTTATTATTATTTTTTATAATAAAGCCATTTTGCTCCTGGGTGCAGGTGGGCTGAGCAGAAAAGGGTTCAGCCTCAAATAAGAGTTGGGGTGTAGGTTATATACTCTACCTTTAGCTTCCAGCAGTTCCTGCTGACATACTCTGCCTGGCCCATTGTCCACTTTGCAGTTGGACTGGTCTGGTATCTCCTCCAGCATCTGCTGGGTGAGTCATTGCCTCGC